ACCCCGAGACACATGAGCGACCTCATATCATTGACTTCTTTTATAAAACCCACATCAGCAAGAAGTCAAGGAAGTGGATTTCACCAGAAGCAGAGTCTCGATATGTAAGAGTATCAATTATCTTTGTATTTTCCTTTTCAAAATACATAGGTTTTGTTGTTGGGTTATAACTTTTTAAAAAATTTAGGAACGGATGAAGGAGTTGAAGGATCAACCAATAGAGGATGGTGCATCCCCATTGTCTCAAGAGGAGATTGTATGCACTGTCCTTTGCAATAGGTGCAGTTATGGGGTTGACCCAAATTCATCTTCTTCAATAAATGTTGTCAAAACTCTTGAACATGAGCAAGAGGTAAGAGGTTTGAAGGTAGTTGTTGCGACTCTTCAAGGTGAAACTGAAAGTAGACAAAGAGAGTTGGATGAGACTAAGGCAAAACTCAAGCAGATGCATAAGACACAAGAGACGATGTTGCAACAAATGATAGAGGTAAAGTTGGCAATGCAACGTGGTGGAGGCAATAGGGAGACCAGTGAGACGACTTCTTCTTGGTAAGTATTTTCAGTTTTAAATATATGCTTAATTTACTATTTATTCTAGCAAATAATTTTTTAGTTTTGCTAATACACTTTTTTTGTGTTTGATGCAGATTAACAATGTATTACTTGGAATTGGTTTTGTCGATGGGATCTCTTCACTCTATGATCCAAGTAGTTCGAGTTCTTGTGACATCTAGATATTGTGATATTTAATTTTTTTTAGTTTAGTTTTTTACATGGGATGTTTTGATATGATATTTATTATGAAATTATATACGAATATTTTGGTATGAGTTCTTGTATGAATGTTTTTAAATGTGTTTTGAATGAATGCTTTGGAAATTATTTTTTTTGTTTTTTTTTATGGATTATTTACTTTATAATGATCTTCAATAATTGAAGCACTACAGTGAATTTATTTTGATTTTTTATAAGGACAATAATAATCATAAAATGTCATTCTTTAGGAATGATTTTGTTTGGCGATAAGTAAAATTTGGTCGCTAAAAATCTCTTATTTTAGTGACAAATAAATTTTGTCGCCTATTATTTAAAGGTGAGAGTATTCATTTGTTATTTGGCTACAAAAATATGTTAGTTGCAAAAAATGTATCTTGATTTTCAGCGATAAATATTATGTCATCGCCAAAGAGAAAAAAATATGACCATAATATAATTTCTTTCAGCGACGAAAATATGTTAGTTGGAAAAAATGTACCTTGATTTTCAGCGACATATTATGTCATCACCAAAGAGAAAAATTATGACCATAATATAATTTTTTTTGGTGACGAAAGTTTTTTTGTGACAAGTAGATGAATTTTTAAGCGACTAAGTTTTTTGTCACTGATAATCTACTTTAGCGACGATATTTTAGTTGGTCGTCAAAAACTTTCAGTAGCGAGCCTGCCGCGACAAATTGGCGACCAAATTTTTTTGTCGCAAAAAATTTTTAGTGGCGAATTATTCACTTTTAGCGACAATTTTTTTTGTCACTAAAAAACATTTTTCTGTAGCAAGGACAAATCATATTTATAAGTAAGTTCACCACCCACACATTCAACTCGAATCACTCGCACATATTCCATTGCACAATCAACCTGAGCCAAAAATACTAACTTTGTTATTTAGTCAATTGCTTTACACAAAAATACCACACCACACACTTGTTAAATCTCATTAGAAACTATATCATAAACATATAAACAAAACTTAAATGTTTATCGATAAAAAATGAAGGGCAATGCACCTACCTTGTGTGAAGTTTTATCTCGTATACTACACCTCCAACATTTTTAGTAGTGTTCGCCTTTGGACTTGACATAACTAATATTTACAATTCCATTCATACATTAATACATAATACCGCTTAATTCGCGATGGTTTACTTGAACTTAGTTTAGTGATTATATCACGAATAATTAAATAATTCATTTACATTAATAAAATTATCTACTCGAATCGATTAAACTAATAGTTTTATAATCAAATCAAGTTAAGTGAAGTAATCCATTTGCATCGAGTAAAATTATCTACTTGAATCAAATTAAGTTAATCTTCTTGAATCCATTTAGGAAATATTTATTTGAACCAATTATACCAAAATTAAATATTTCTTATAAAATTATAAACATCAAAAAATTTATTCAATTTGTATAATTATCTATTCAAGTATAAAATGACATGTTTAATTGTAATTACTCGTACCCATGGAATCATGAAAATTCAATAACAATTCATAAGATTTCTAAACTATCCACCAAATTACTATTTTAATTTTTCCAAGCTACACCCTTACTACTAAACATTCATAACAAGCTTCCCAATAAAACTACATGCAATAATTACCCTCTTTTATATATATATATATATTAGTTGTTGCATACGTACGTTGTACGTGGACAATTTTAATCTATAATCTTGAATTTTATTTGTCATAACTAAAGTATAAAAAAGACACACAAACCGAATTATTTGGCTAATACTCTCCAATGTTGATTTTTTGTACAATACATAAGACAGAACTTAATAGACTTGGTGGGGCAACAAAACGCAAAAGTTTGAGAGGAAGACAAGATAAAACCCACACTTAACAGCTATGAACCACTGTAATAAAATCCAACGACCCAACCGTGATACCAAGAAGAGGAGCGAACCAGAAAGTTTGCATGGAGCACACTTGAGCCTTCTGTGTTTGTGTTTATTACTGATGTAAGTTTTATTTAGCCTATATCTAAATTATTAAGCTCACAGAAAAAATTTATATTTTCACAAATAATTATTTCTTAACAAGAACTATAATTTCAAAATTAGGTGCCTAGCTTCTTATACATGGAGTTAGGAAAAGGAAACTTGAAAAAAGAGAACAATGGTGTCCATCCTGAAATAATGATTTTTCCTCTTCAATTGAATACAAGGCACATCAGAACATTAAAAACATTAAATAAAAGTATTTCTAATAGTTATACTGGAATTCGACCACTTTTATGCATACACTTCACAAACCCCTATAGATAAAACATACAAAAACTACCCAACAAGACAATACAAGCATATTAAAGCTTCAAAAAAGCACAAACTGCAGTAAAAACACATTCATTAAACAAAACAAAACAACATCAATACACAAACATATATAACATAAAACATCAATTCCCAGAATCCCGAAATAAGAATATCTTGCTATGATGTTAAACTATCTAGCTAATGATTTAGTAGTTGATTGAAGAAATTGAAACTATCGTTTAGAGGACAAGGATTTAAATTATGAACATGTATGATCTCACCAGAAGCACAAAACAATCCTGGAACATTAACTTTAATTGGAAAACATGGTAGAATAATACCTAGGCGGGTTTGTTCTCATGATAAGCTTTACAGAGTCATCATCCATCTCCAACCTTAAAGTTTCTAAAATAGCTAGTATATAGAAAGGCATTGGAGGCTTGGAGCAGATCATCTTATTGTCAACTCAAAAGCTATTTTGCTTCTTAACCCTTGATCCTTCGAACCTTGAATGCTGCTTTGCACACAAAAAGGTCGTTGCTTAAAGCTCTTTATCCTTCACTCCTTGAACTCTGGAAGGTTGGCTCATTAAAGCCATTTAAATGAAACACATTTACAGTTTCTTGGCACATGAAAGGATTTCCGCTTAAAATATTATTCCAGAATTTTTAGCATTTTAAACTTATAAATGTCAGTAGAGTTAGATCAAGGGTAAAAATGTCCTTACAGTATCAGTGAAGAATAAAATATGAATGATAAATTTGTAATTACGTTTCTAATTGAATGAAGCTCGTCGGTTAGAAATCTGAACAGGTTAATACAAATGTCTTTTTTGAGTTTATGAAGGGTAAAAAAGAAAATTAAATATTTTTTCTGTCAAGCCACTTTTAAGAGTAGTATAGATATAGATATATATACATATCCAAAATATTTATCACCCATTAAATTTCGTATTTCGTACCCATAACCATAACCACACCTTGTATATACTTACACACTTTATTTTAATAACAATAAATTAATGTCACATATTTGCCACCCAATTAATTCTAAATGCGTTAACGTACATAAAATAATAAAGCCATGTCTCATGTCAACATTCTTATTTAGCTTTTCACACTTAAATAAAATAATTTCCCCTATAACCATTATTTATAAATTATCTCTAAATATTAAAATATTAATCGTTCAGGTTTAGATCTCAATTATTACTCGTAATTGAATACTGGTTGTCAATCTTACGCATGCATGTCCGATTTGAATATGCTTATTACAATTTTTCCCTCATGAATTTTGTCCCCGAAATTTGACTTACTAATCTGAAACAAGTGAGGATGTGTTTTTTTTTTTTTTTTTTGTGTTTTCAACTATTTGAATTTTAAATCTCATGACTAAAATAAGTACTCACATTTAAACCCTCAACACAAAATAAAATACCTAATTAGTTTGTTTGGGTCTCACATTAGTATCTGAAGACCTTAAGTCTAAATCTTGTTTCAAATTTGTCCACCCCTTCCAATCTTGTTCAGACGCCTAAATTGGGAAAATTCAATCATGTGTGATGGCCAAACTCAAAATAGATGTTGCAATGAGATATCCTAAGGACCCGCTTCCCAATTTTCTTCATCTCCCATATTTAGCAATGCACCAGCACCAGCTATATTCTAGCTTGACTTTTCATATTGCTTTCTTTTTCAGCCTCCTATTTTGTACCAAAAATAACCAATGGACATGTATGTGTGTGCTCTTCTTTCTTATATACAACAATTTCCCCATAAAACTCTAGGGGCCATACAGTGTGGGGGCTTTCAAATCTTGAAGGAGAGGAGGGGTCATCCGCCCTGCAGGCCCTCTTCCACTGTGGTGAGCTTTAAGAGTGTTTTTTTGCCTTACTCAAAGAAAAATATCAAGAGGAACGGAAAAAAACACTTTGTAGTTGTAAGAGCTGAATCGTCAAAATGGCAGATAAAAAGACGAGTAAACTTGCCCTGATCGGCATCTCTTCTTTACTCTTGGTGGCGATGGTGGTTGCCGTAACTGTGGGCATTGTGGAGAACTACGGCGACAAAACAGGAAATTATAATCATCATGATGTATCTGCCCCAATGAAAGCAATTAAATCCATTTGCCAATCCACAGATTATCAAGAAACTTGCGTCAGCAGCCTCTCATCCGCGGCAGGAAACACCACCGACCCGAAGGTACTTGTAAAGGCCGCATTTGATGTGGCAACGATGAAAATCAAAGAAGCTGCTGAGAAATCGATCGTCTTGCAAAAACTTGAGAAAGATCCAAGAGCAAAGGAGGCTCTAGAAACCTGCCAGGAACTTGCAAGTGTTGCCGTCAATGACCTCAAAAAGTCTTTCGACAAATTAGGTGATTTTGATGTCAGCAAATTCGATGAAGTTCTTGCAGATATAAAGATTTGGTCAAGCGGCGCCATTACTTACCAAGAAACTTGCTTGGATGGATTTGAAGATACACAAGGAGATGCAGGAGAGAAAATGAAGGAGGCATTGAAGAGCTCCATGCAGTTGACCAGCAATGCCCTTGCCATTGTTACTGAAATCTCTTCGGTCCTCGCGACCATGGACATCCCTATGTTCCAAAACCGTCGCCTCCTTTCAGAAGACATTTCTGTCATGGGTCATGGTGATGAATTCCCTAATTGGCTTGATGCAATAAGACGGAGAATCCTTCACGCCAAACCGAACCAGATCAAGCCCGACCTCATTGTAGCCAAGGATGGATCTGGAAAGTATAAGACCATTAATGAAGCTCTAAAAGATATCCCCGAAAATGGGAACAAGACCTTTGTGCTCTACATCAAAGAGGGTGTTTATGAAGAGAAGGTGCAGTTTAATAGCAGCATGACATATTTGATGGTTGTTGGCGATGGCCCAACTAAGACAAGGATAACTGGAAAACTAAATTTTGTGGATGGGGTAGCCACCTACCATACTGCCACAGTTGGTAAGCTTTACCTCTCGCTAACTGCTTAAGTTCTTGATAAAACCTTGTATATATATAAACTGGAACAAAGTTATATGTCTTTGATATTCTCTCTTCTTACACGCCAATGCAGCTGTGCTCGGAGACTATTTCATTGCTAAGGACATCGGGTTTGAGAATAGTGCTGGCCCTGAAAAGCACCAAGCTGTGGCATTGCGTGCTGCAGCAGATAAGTCGATCTTTTACAACTGCCATTTTGATGGCTACCAAGACACTCTTTACACGCATACCTATCGCCAGTTCTACCGTAATTGTGTCATCTCTGGCACCATTGACTTCATTTTTGGTGACAGTGCTGCCATCTTCCAAAACTGCACAATGTTGGTGCGGAAGCCATTAGACGATCAACAGTGCATTGTCACAGCACAGGGCAGGAAAGAAAAACGTCAACCAACAGGTCTTGTCCTCCAAAACTGCACCATCACAGCAGATCCTTCATTGTATCCTGTCAAAGACGTTGTCAAATCATATCTTGGCCGACCTTGGAAAGAATATTCAAGAACCATCATCATGGAGTCGTATATTGATGACTTGATCGATCCACAAGGGTGGTTGCCATGGGAAGGAAGTTATGCTCTTGAAACTCTTTTCTACACTGAATTCAACAACAGAGGTCCTGCTTCTTCTAAGCTACAACGTGTGCAATGGCCTGGCATCAAGGAGCTCACATCAGCTCGGATTCAACGTTTCACAGCCTCCCAATTCATTGAGGGCAAAACATGGATACCATCCACCGATGTGCCTTATATTCCTGGCCTTATATTTCCACCACCAAAAGAGAATGCAACTGTTAAGTACTCACCAGAGGAATCAGATGAACAAAATCTAACGCACAAGAAAGATAAAAAATCATATAAGTCTAGCCCTGACTTGCAACAGACGCCAGTAACTATTGAGGCTCCAGCTCCAGCTCCTAGTGCTGGATTTGCCTTCCCACCAGAATCAGATATAGCCGCTCCAACTTCTAGTCCCACTGCACCAACTATGTCAGAATCAAGTTTTTCTTTTGAAATGTTTTTTAAAGGATTTTTCTAGCCATATCACATGATTTCCTAAAACCGCATGATTTTCCAATCCAAATCTAGTTGGTATTACATGTAGAATATTTCGCTCAATATGTTCTATTCGGTCATTTTTCATGAATTGGTGATACTAATTGATTCAATTTTCAGAACTTTTGGTGTTATTGCCAGAATTTTAATTTCTTATCTTTGGACTATTATATAGACCTCCCAATTATCTTTTGCTTTGAAGCCAATTGATGAAAAGACCTTAGCTCAGTTAGGATACAATACACAAAAAATGAGATAGTTCTAAGTATTTCCAAATTAGGGTCTATATTGTAAAAATCCATATTTTGCTTTGAGATTTATTTTGATCCTCAGACAAGCAACAAAAACAAACAGGTATCCAAGCTAATATTATACTATAAGTCATTACCGCATCTATGGAAGCATTGGTTTACACATATTCTTAGTCTCGATTCTGAGATACTTTTTTTGGGAAACTACCTATAGTTAAAGGTCATCTTTTATATCTTAATATGCTCATTTTCCATGGTTGTGTCATCAAACATATTCCTCTTTTTTATTATTTTTATATAGTTCACAGTGGAAAAATAAGATGCGACCACAAGGTAATGAAATAATAAGAGAACAATTCTAACATATGGTCACATCGAGTAGGTTCCTATCCTTTTCTCATTTTTTTCTTTGGGTAAGTAAAAGTGGTATTGACACTATGCAAATATTTACATCAAAAGAGAATTAAAAAAAACAGCAAACTGCAACATCATCTTCCTAGTTCCCTACCCAAAACAGAGGAGCCAAGGCAGCAAATTTGAAGTTAAATGAATCTACTAACAATTAGTTTAGATCTATGAAGCACGGATACTTCGTTGAGGTTGATGTATCTGTATCCGATACCGTATCGGATACGATACTCGTCGGATACTTGAAGATACGTATCGGATACATTTTCTATGTATCCGATAATAATTAAATATTATGATACTTCACGGATACTTTTGTAGTTGAGCAACATATATAATTTTTGAGTTGAACTTTTAACATCTCTTTCGAATTCACATACCATACAGTATATTAACAAAAAATTCATATTACTTCAAAGACACATGAGTGTTTCTTAAGTATTATTTACAATTACATGCCAAAAGAGCATAAAATAAAACTATTACATTATTATCTTAGCAAAAATTATTTCTAAATACTAGGTAAATATTAGCTTTGATTCCTTTAATTAATCACTTTATTTTGTGAATATACTACAACGATACGATATATATTTTCTTGAAACTAAAAAAAATTATTAATTTTCCTTATTGTATAATACAGAACTACCAAAATATATAAGTATTAAGCTGGTTAAAAATAATAAAAATATTTTATTATAGTCGTATCTTGGTCGTACTCGTATCCTACTTTTTTAGACTTTGTCGTATCGTATCGTATCCATATCCGTGCTTCATAGGTTTAGATGCTTCAGTATTAAAAGCAAGAAAGTGAAGAAAGAAGAGCAGTTGTCTAAAGTTATTTAAAATATAGAAGTCCCCATAAATGACTCAGCATTGTATGTAAATGTGAAATTACCAAAAAAAGAGAAGAAACAATGGGGAGGCAAGGAAATGCATGCCATTAATAACCTGATTTAGTGGTGTCAACATGTAACGAATAAAATTTAAAAGCAATAAGAGCATATTTATGGCTTGTTAATTGTTTACACCCAAAACAGTAAAATCTAAGCTGACACATGGAGATGATCTAATAGTTGAGAAATAGTAAGTGAGAGTCCAAGCCTAACATAACGATTAAAAAAGTGAGACTCTAAGAACCTCAAAAAACGAGAAAACGTGATATCATGATGCATGTATCTTCGGGGAAGAGGTCGTGATTGCAGTCATGGCCAGAAAAAATGGTTGTGACGGTTAGGAGACATCTCCTATAAATACCAAAGGCAGGACTATAAATAAAAGATCATCGATCAACATGACAACTCTATACAGAGACAACCTCTCTTTTACTTAATTTTTTTTCTTCCAAATTTCCTTTAATTTGTAGTCCATCACTCTAGTAATTTTCATTTCCATTTGAATGCTAAGTACATTAGTTTGTTCATTTACATTTGTCAATCTTTCTGCCACTTTGAATTCCATCATCTTTCTACATTTTAGTCCATTACGCTGCCAATTGAAAATTGCTTAAATCCTTGATCTCCAAGGCATAGAAAATAACTCAAATGTAACCTGAACAGTCACGATTTAAGAACTTCATGCTAGTTCGAATAGGTTGAGTTGTATATTTTTGGGATTTTAAGTCAAGTTGGACTTTGACACATCCGCAATCTAAAAATATGCCAAACATATTTTTGGCATGCCTAGTGAGACCCAATGCAGCAATATGACAAACACCAATGAAAAAGCTAAAAATTGACTCAACAAAACTGCCTCCAGTGCACAAAGTAGTAGAAGAACGCAGGTCTGGTATTCTCAACCTATAGGCAAAATAGCCTCCAACCAGGGGGAAAAGAAAATCAAGAATTCGATTTGGAGCCTGTGACATTGATTAAAGCACTTTCCCAGTAAATCTCTAGATTTATCAATGGCTTGGGAGACGTAATAAGATAACAATCTTGCCAAACCAGGCATGCACTCAAGCGACTGTTTGACAGTTTCAACTACAAGGGGGTGCAAGGCAATTGCCACTCCCACCAGTGAAAGCGGTTCTCATGGGAGCACCTCAACTAGTTTTTCCTCCATGTGTGCCACTCCCGATGGCATAGTAGTCCAAGAATGGCTCTTAGAGAAAGAACAGTCCTCTGTTCTGGGAGAATATAGCCCCTATTTACGAGTTCAAGGGGCAAAGAAGACAGTCTTCATTTTGTTCTACCAGCGACGCCTCAGGTATTCATGAATAGAGACTAGCTAGATGAAATTATCTAGGAGAATGTCAACCCCACGATGAGGTGAGTCACCAAGTCGATGTATCAAAAGCCATATCCCGATTGGGTGGATAGGGAGTATGAATATTCTTGGAGGTATAAGGTCCCAGTGTTCGCAACCTTCTCCTGAGAAGTCAGTTAGTCAACCATGGAACACATTGACCGCTTTGCCGTGCAATGTGGCGAGACAGAGGCAGTTCTTGAAGTTAAGACTGTTTGTTAATTCCCTAAGTTGAACAACTTTCAAATAGTATATTGAAGTTAAGACTGTTTTATCTACTGATTGTAACCATCACTTTCCTACATAATGAAATCTTTTATCAGTTATCTTCAAAAAAAAAAAAAGAAGTTAAGACTGTTTGTTAATTCCCTAACTTTAACAACCTTCAAATGGTATATTGACCTATCACCTAACTCTGTGTTAAGTTAGCAGTAGTTAGAGGATTAATTCCACCCTTAGTTTTACCGTACTGAGCTTGAAGTGACTACATGGTTGACTTGGCCAGATTATACTAGATGATAGAGAAAACTGTGGAGTAATACATCGCGAGTTTCAAGAAGGTCAAAAGCAGGTGTAGGTTTGCCTTGCCCGAAATGGAGTACATTTGCATTGCGCAGAACGGTCTTGGTTTTGAGCTTTAGAAGAAATTTGACGAGATGGAGTTCAACTGTCACTCCTTTTCCTAAAAAAGAGTTGGGATATGGGTAACCTCGACCTGTTAAAGCTTAAGTGGTTATTTACAACCATAGTAATAGAACATGTGCCTCATTAGTCAAACTCATCCACTCAATAAACATCCTACGAATAAACAACTCAACACGGTGTCACAAACAACTAGGCTTCCATACCCTTAAATGTCCTTATTACATTTATATATCGACAATTGACGGAGTACACACTGATGTCAACACCTCCACATCAAACTAGACTACTTAGTGGACCACCTCCTATATTCCAAGAACCTAAAAGCAAACAACTATTGGGGGGGTGAACAAACCACATGTTCAGTGAGTATATCTGAGACATATTAAAAGAAAACGCATAAGCACTAAATAGTTATAATCATATCTCACGTACACATTTAAAATGAAATTCACATCAAATATCCAATATTCAATACCCAACATCCAATAAACAATATCCAAAATCTATTATCCAATAACAGCCCATTTTCACTCAAGTGTCTCGTCAATTATATTGCTACTGTTTTGGCCCAACAGTCTCAACAATCATATCGTCATAGTTTCTACAATTGTGCAAAGATGGCAAGAATAAGGGCAAGCCGAGGGATAGCCCCCAACAAAACCCCAACAACAACTGCCTCATCAATGCGGGCAACGGCTAAGGAGAAGGGTGTGAGGAAGATGGTGGAGTCGATTTCTGAGGAGGAAGAAGATGTACCTCCTATGCTCAAGAAGATCTTACCTTCAAACCCTTTGCATAGGCTCCCGTGGACTGCAAGTTTTTCAGCTTGGCTCCTCTTTGCCTCCATACACTAAAGGTTCGTGGAAAGTATGGCAAAAATGAGGGATACTCAGGCTAAGGCTACCATTTCTAAGGGGAAGGATTTGGTCGTGGGTAAGAGTTTTGAGAAGCCATTAATTATTTTTGATTCTAACGAGGGGAGTGATGTTTTCTGGGGAAGATGGAGATAAGGCTGAGAATTTGGGGGATGCTCCTATTTCTTATTCAGATTGATGAATTTGAGGATTTACTTCTTTACCTTATTTTTATTTTTAGTTGTCTAGGTAGCATATAGGTTCTAGAAGAACCTTAGAAATTTTGTTTTTTGGGTAGTAGTTGCCACATTAAAGAACCCATAGGTAGAAGGCTGCAACAATTTTGTTTTGTCTGTACCCAAAAACATATAGCGGATATATACATGAAGTCCTTTCGATTCCTTTTGTGTGCCATTTATTCTTTAAGCATATGTATGTCAATTTGATGATATTGGTTATGTGATTGAGTATGCTTTGGAATTCATAGTATAATTTTTAGGAAGTTGTGATGTTTGTTTACTTCGTTTTGCTAAGGGACTAGCAAAAGCTAAGTTGGGAGTATGATGAGAATATAATAT